TTCTGTCATTATAACCACGTACTGAATTTGACTGTTGATTGAGTGTGCTGTCTTTGATCGAGGATTTATCGTGGTGAAATCCAATAATGTTTGAAATTTTATCTATTTAATATGTTCTAAACCACCATTTGTTCTATTTCATACACATAACTGCAATATTTTTTTATCAATTTAATCACGTTACATTACATTGAACACCATATGATTTATCCCTTTAGATATTATTGAATATTCCACTAGATATTAAGTAAATTGCGAAGAGCAGTTTTGGGAGGCCAATAATATTGTAACTGTAATATGTGTAAAAAGGTTGTTTTGTTTAAATTTTCCCAATGCGAAATATTGAGATTAGCGGTGTAGAATTGAATAAATTCAAAATTTATGACATTATGTTTGAGATTGAAATAAATAACATTCGGGAAAGTTGCTGCTTTTCATCTCAAACCAAAGCACTTATTCCATTGCTTAGTCATACTGTATCTTGGCAAGATCGCTCTAATTTGATTTGCATACTGAAGTTGGAGTTCCAACCACCACTAACTATATTCCATTGTTATCTCATGATGATGACTTTGAATGATCGATAAAATGAAACAATTGGAGTAAATATTTGGAATGAATTCCTGCTATTAATGACCTTTCTAGACTATCTAGAAAATCTGAGAATTTGTTGACGATTTTGTAAATAATGAATTGAGAAATTATTTATTTTAAACAAGAATAAATCATTGTCATTCCATTCTAACTGTGCATTTCATTTTACAGCATTTCTAGAAGCAAAATTTTAAAATTAGCGCTTATTTATTCTGGAATTTCAGATCGTCAGTCCTTCAGACGCCAATCTCAATGAGTTTCAAGGACCATACAACGTTGAAAAACCCTCTAATTGTCGCATCTTGGTTACACGGAACTGTCCATTTTGCTTTGCTTGTTTCGTTCATAAAAGGCTGGCAATAGAGCTCAAGGTTTTCTGCCTTTATGCGCATTGAAATGGCATCACTTCGAAAGTGAACGAAACTGACATTTGCGATTCAAATTTATATTCAAAACAGAAATATGGGTTGTTCTAGTTGAGTTCAAATGAACAAAATTATTCACTTTGTTCTGACGTTTACTTTATCATTGAAAATTGGTTACATCTTTTGCACGTGAACATTGCGTATCATTGGTGTCTTGAGATCGCTTAGACCAATGAGCTTAGGTTGTCAACGGAGAAATGCTATTGGTGAAAGCTTACATATTTACAGTAAGTTTTTTTTATTTCCAACTTATTTTTTCCTATTACACGATATGGAGGAAATACCAATCACACTTTATGAAGCTATTGTTCGACGCGATTTGCCATCTCTGAGACGACTACTTTCCAGTGGAAAGGCAAGTGGGCTGAACACCTTTTCCATCTTTTAGGCTGATCCTAGTTCCTTTCCCGATAATTCTACAACAACGACTCCAGTCATGGAGGCAGTGAAAATTAAGTGTCCCTATATGATATTGTTGCTTGAAAGCTACGGAGCTGATCTTACCCGCACCGATAACATTGGTCGCAACGCTCTGCACCACGCGGCACTTGGAAATGATATGGCATCATGCATAATTCTCGTTGGTAAGAATTGTCCCCTGGACAAACGCGATGACTTCGGCTTCACTCCTCTTGTTCTGGCCATTAAGAGGGGTAATTTGGAGATGGTTAGGTATTTAGTGAAAAGTGGAGCTGCCGTCTATCCAGATAATGTGCCTCTCCATAGCATGCCTCTTATCGCTGCCACCTACTTTGTATGATCTTTGTGTAATCTAATCCACTCCTTAGGCCAACATTGATATCTTGAGTTTCCTGTTGTCCGTTCCAGAAACGAATGAGAGGAGGAAGGATATGCAAATGAATTATGCACTTTGTTTGGCAGTTCATATTTCCCGGGAACCCCTAGTCGAATTATTGATTAGTGAGGAAGCTCCATTATGTCGCTGGAATGCTGGCGATATTTCACCCTTAGACTTTGCTATTTTGGACGATATGCATGAAATGGCCTCATTGTTGCTAGCAGGTGGTGTAAATGTTAATGAAAGAGATCATTTCGGTTACACTCCACTCATGCATAC